TAGAAAGCTGGGCCAAATCTAACATACATGAATTTCAACAGGGAGAAATGTAGAGTACTAACACTCGGGCAGTAAAAGTGCCCAGATATAGGATGGGTGATACCTGGTTTGACAACATCACATGCAAAAGGGATGTAGGAGTCTTTGTGGACCACAGACTGAACATGAGTCACCAATGTGATGCATCAGCTAAAAAAGCCAATGCAATTCTAGGCTGCATCTATAGGAGTGTAGTGTTCAGATCAAGAGGAGTAATAGTAACATTCTATTCTATTTTGGTCAGGCGTCACCTGGAATATTATGTCCACTTCTGGACACCACAGTTTAAGAAGGATGGGGACAAGCTTGAGCATGACCACAGGAGGGCAACCAAAATGGTGAAAGATCTAGAAACTATGTCCTATGAGGAACGGCTTAGGGATCTGGGTATGTTCAGCCTGGGGAAGAGAAGGTTAAGAGGTGACATGATGGCTCTGTTTAAATATTTGAAGGGATGTTATATTGAAGATGGAGCAAGTTTGTTTTCTGCTGCTTCTAAGACTAGGACATGGAGCAATGGATTCAAGCTACAGGAAAAGAGATTCCACCTAAACATTAGGAAGAATTTCTGGATGATGAGAGCTCATTGACAGTGGAAAAATCTACTTTGGATCCGGTGGCATCTCCTTCTTTGGAGGTTTTTAAGCCAAGGCATATTTGTTGGGAATACATTGTAGACCATTTTTAAAGAAATGCTTTGATTGTGTGTTCTTGCATAGCAGGATTGGGTTGGACTGGATGGCCTTTGGGGTCTCTTCCAACTCTATGATTCTATGATTCACTGCACTGCAAACAGCCTACTTACCTACTTCAAGATCATACTGTTCCCTCTGTCGCATTGCGACCTCTTCCTGTTTCCAAAGAAAAAATCTTGCTCTTTCTTTCCCTCTTTTTTAACAAAGGAAGGATCTGCATGATCCTTGTTGGAACGGTTACCAAAAAATAAAAAATAAAAAAATAAAATAAAAATAAAGTTAATGTCATTACTTGCCTAAAGAAAATTAATTTGAGGAGGTCTAGAATTCCATGTTGTTCATCTCCCTTGCGTGACTAGGATACAGTCGGTAGATCAGATAAATTGCATGAGATTTGCATAATAATAAAGCCATTTATAGTTCCTTGTTTTCTTCTTTTTTGTTCTATAAGTACAGAAGAGAAAAAGTTAGATATAGTGCAAAGCAATCTGGTGGGAATATCCCAGCTCAAACTCTCAGCTCATTTCCAAAGGATTCATGTAAAAGATGACCTAGAACAGCAGTATAGGCATGTAAAAATATGTTTGGAGCTGTTGCGTGATTCCCTCACAAACATACAGGAATATTGGGAGCCTCCATCTTACATCTAAGCATTTTAAAATGTTAAACAGTATTCCTCTACCACCAAGATTTCTGTGTCTCAGTATGGACTAGAAACTTGCTTTCTTAGAAATTAAGTTCCTAGAAAATGAGATTCATACAAGGCCATATAGACCTTTCTCAGGATGCTGGCTGACAATGAATCTGTTTTATTTCTTCATTTATTTAAACATCTCTTTCCTACCCTATCTTTGAAAGATCGCAGATAAGGTGAAAGCAGCACACTGATTTAAAACAAATACAGTCAGCCCTCCATATCCATGGATTCTGCATCATGGATTCAACAATCCATGGATTGAAAATACCCCCCCCACGCAAAGAAAAAGCCAAAAATAAAAACTAGACTTTGCCATTTTCTATAAGGGACACCATTTTACTATTTCATTGTATATAATGGGACTTGAACATTGTGATATTCATGGGGAGTGGTGGTCCTGGGACCAAACCGCAGTGAACGCCAAGGACACACTATATTCCTGTACAGTATTCTTCCTATATTCAAAATTTCAAGGTGTTGCAGAGGAATTGTCTGGCAATAAGCGGGATACAAATAAACTTTATTATTATTATTATTATTATTATTATTATTATTATTATTATTATTATTTTACAGAGAAAAACTGCAGGAAAAAAGTGTTTCCTGGGTTTGGGACACAGAAAACCCATTTTCTGCATGAAAAACAGCATTATTATTATTATTTTCGTATGAAGAACATTCCTGTGTAGCATTTTGGAATGTTTAAATACTGGTGGCCGGGGGGGGGATTGTGCCAAATATTTACTGGTCTACCAACTGTTGAGAAACCTGGTTCTTGACCTGGAAATTAATAATTACAAATATTCTTTCCAACACTGGGCTGGGACTGGGTGGGAATCATACAGCCCTCCAGATGAACAAAGTTTGGCTCTCCTGACAACTGTGTTTCTCTTGCATGAAATCTAAGATGAATTATAGAGTAAGCCTACAATGTTCAGGCTGTTTGGAGGAACCTGAGATTATCCAAAAACCTATCAACGTTTTTGCAACAATTGATGGCGCAACATGTCTTCAAAATGAAGTCCCGCAATTTGTCTTTAGTTGTTGTGAACATGGTGTCCTGATTGTTCCCTTGCAATGCGTAACCGCTCTAACACTGCAGGACTGGCTCCAGATTTGGGATGCAAAGATGATGATGATGATGATGATGATGATGATGATGATGATAGTCATCATAATCACCATCATTGTTAGTGCTTACTTATATGGCACCATCAATTTACATGGTGCATTATAGGCACAACGATGGAAAACAGTAGGTCCTAAGAAATGTGCACAATCTAAAGTGTGTGCATACACATACACACAACAGGAAGCAAGGAATAATAAAATAAAGCTATATGATACAGTTAAAAAACAAAGTATCTAGGCAGAATGCAAAAATACAACATAATATAAAACAAAGTAGCCAACATATGCAACCAAATATACTGCAATATAAACATCATCAAGCTAAAGTTCAAAATACTTTAGAAACCAATAATGTTTTTTAATGCAGATTTTAAAATAGCAAGGGAAGTCTTCTGCCCTCTGGAAGTGGGGGAAGTTCCCTTCCAGAGCTTGAAAAAGTTTCCTTTGGACTATTAATCTCAGAATCTCCTAGCCAACATGGTTCAAAAAAGGTAACTTTAGGAAGAACAGATGATTAGGATGGTTGGATTACATACCCTCCAACTGTCCAGATTGTCAGAGAAAAGTCCCAATTGATCCTCTGTCATCCCACTCTTTCAGTTGCTTTTGAAATGTCCCAGTTTCTCTTTGCCTCCCACTTTCCTCCTTTTTCCTCATCGTGCTGCTATTGTTTCAAAAACCTGAGTTCAAAGTGCAAACGTTTGTTTGCACTCCATTCTCTCAGCAAGGGAGAGATGAGAAGAGGGGGGCAAACCCCTGTCCTTCCCAGGAGGCTCAGGCAAAAGCAAACTGCTGCAGCCTCTCCTAGCTCATCTGTTCTTCTTCAGTCATAGCTATTGCCATCTTGCCCACACTCTGATGTTGTTGGACCATACGTGTCCTGGTGTTCATCTGTAAAATGTTGGACAGTATAAGATTAGCTGGGAACAGTAGGGTTTTTGTCACTCCTTTTTAAATTCTCCACAGCAGTTGCTGTCAGAGGTGCTCAATGTTTATGTTTCAAAAGCAAGAGACAGCCGGATGGCACCTTTAAAACTAACATCTATTTCATCACGCACTTTCATGCATTCTAATTATAATCTGCTTCCTCTGTGTGTAGTTGTGGGGAGCATCATGTGGAGCATCGACAGAATTTGGCAGGCCTGGAAATTGTTCTTTGTGAAACTAGAAATATGTTGGCACATCTAGCAGGTTCCTTGACCAATATTTCAGGGGGTTTCCAGATCATTACATGGGGATTTCCTACTTTTTTTTATCTATTTATTTTGTTTCAATATTTATATCCTGCCCTATATCATGAGATCTCAGGGTGGCAGCCAAGTAAGATCAATATAAGTAGCTCAAAGCAGTTTAAAACAATAGAAGCAATTGAAATAGGAGATTACTACACGCAGCTTTTAAATCGTGGTTAGATGTGGGGGAAAGCGGCTTTGGTAATATTTATCGCATGACGATGCCTCCAACCTTTAGCTACTGCGTCTCTTAAGCACAGTCCCCCTTCTCATTGATGAGAGAAACCCATCAATGACCTCCCACTCATGCCAGTCCCAGGTGCGAAACATCACTGCTGGGGCAGTTCTAGTACTGGACAGTCATGTGGTGCCAGTGTTTCTTCCTCTCTCCTTGTCTCTCCTCCACATCACTATTTCCAAGCAGGCTGGTTGCCTTTAAATTCCCCCCCCCCCAAAATATCTTTTCTTCTTTTTTAAAACCATACACTGCAGTAGCAGAGCTCCAGAATGGCTTGGAAAATGTTAAAAGAAAAATAAATTAAAATTTAAAAACCCAAATGGCATTCTGCTCCAGAGCTCCAGAATGGCCCAGACGTCATCTGGATTAGAAAGCTGGGCCAAAGCTAACAAAATGAAACACGGAAGAATCTAAGGTATTGCACTTAGGGCAGAAAAATGAAATGCACAGATATAGGCTGGGGGACACC